CCACCCACCCACCCAAAGGGGATTCTGGTTGGGCTGGACGTAAAGGCTTTGCGCTTCCTTGCAGGAGGAGGCCACCTACATTCAGGAGATCATGGCCACAGCAGACGGTCAAATGGTGCAGCATTTGGTGACCACAGAGAACCAGGTGGGCCGGCTGCGGGGTCGTGCCGAGAGGGAGGCGTGGGGTCTGGCCGGCAGCCAGAAAGTAACCTTTCTCCCGCCTTCCTCCTGAAGGTGCAGTACATCATAACTCAGGAGGGCGTCCAGCACCTCCTGCCCCACGAGTATGTGGTTCTGCCTGAGGGCCATCACATCCAGGTGAGGCCTTCCTGCTTGCTCCTTTCCCAGCCGGTGGTGGCGTCCGTTCCTCTTCCCCCCTGCCCAGTCTACTCGCAATCCTTGCTCCGTTTCAGGTACAGGACGGCCAAATCACCCACATCCAGTATGAACAAGGCAGCCCGTTTGCGCAGGAGCCCCAGGTATGCAGGCCCCCCTTGGGACGTTTGCGCTGGAGGCGGCCAGCCGACGAAGCGGCTGTGTTTGGGGGCGTCTGGAACGGGGCCCTTACCGATGCCTTCTCCCCGCAGATCCAGTACGTCCCGGTGTCACCAGGGCAGCAGCTCGTCACGCAAGCCCAGCTGGAGGCTGCAGCACATTCGGCAGTGACAGGTATGGGGGGAGGTGGGAACGAGGACACCCACCCCCGGGTCAGGAACTTCTTTCCACCTGTTGACTTGGGTCGATTGCAACTTGTCTGGGGCAAGGGAAAGGCCCTGGCGGCCCCCCGTGTGAGGGCTGCAGGCCTGGCATTTCCTGGGTGTGTTGGTCCCAGGCTTGCTCTGCGCAACTACACCCTGGTGGGGAAGGGGGGCTGAGTCCTCTGGGCCCCCCCCAGTTCTGTGCCTGATGTTTTCACCCCATCTCCAGCTGCACAGGAGAGGATCTCAAAGTGTTCATCCTGTACTCGTCAGGCCATGCAGGTTGGGCCAGATCCTGTTTTCTCCCATCTGCTGGCTGCCCGTACCCGAATGACCTGGTGGCCTCTGCTCTTCAATACAGGGGCTGAAGTCTGAATTGGGACCTCCCCCCACTGCCTCTACTTACTCTTCTCTCCTTCCTCTCTGCAGCAGTGGCGGACGCTGCCATGGCCCATGCCCCCTTTGGCACGGAGTCCGTGCCAGAGCAAACCCATCAGCTGCAGCCGGGAGTTCACTATGACATCATCACCCTAGCAGAGTGAAGGAGCACGCTGCCCAAGGGTGGACCTCTTTCTTGGCACTTCTGGGGCAGCCAGGATGCCCTGGCCGGCTTGGCTAGAGGACTAGCCTTCCCTCTGGATTGTGCCTCCAGCCACTGGCCGGCTTCAGCGGCTGCTTGCGCTCGCCCGTCCCGCGTGTGACCTGGCAGGCCAGGTGGGGCTCGCTTTTCACAGGTGCCTCCTGGAAGCGGGACATCCGCACCAAAACTTGAGGAAGCGCCTCGACCCGGGGCAGTCTGTGGTGGACGTACTGCTGAATAAAAAGGGCCCACCAAGTCTGGAAGTCTGGTTGATGGCCTGTGCCCCTCCCCTCCCCTCCCCTCCTAAGCCCTGCTCAAGTCACCTTGATTGTGGGAGAGGGGAGCTGAGGCCCTTTCACCCCTGCCCCCCTGCCTGAGCCGACCGGACCTCTTCCTGGCAGTCCAGACCCAGCCTGTTCACTTGGCAGCGTTTGCATCAGATTATAACGGCTAAGCTGGGAATTTAGCTAGGAGCTTTGCCATTATCCTGATTGTGTTCAATGGGGCAAAAAGCCACGTTGCTCTAAGGGCACCTTCAGCAAGGGCTGGGGGAAGCAGGTGCCAGCCCTGGGTTGCTGCGCAAGAGCCGGGCAGGTGGTGAAGCAGCAGTCTGGAACAGGAAGCAGCCAGCTGTGGCTTGTCTGGCTCAGCCGCTCCAGCTGTGTCCCGGCTGAGCATTAGTGGCGGGCAGGCCGGGATTATCTGCTTGAGCCGGGGCAAGGTTGTCCTGCCAGGGGAGGAGGGAAGCAGGCTGTGGCCAGAGCAGGGACAGTGCAGGCCTTGTGCCCATCAGGGCTGGACCGGTGACCCCCCAGCCTGGCCCAGAGCCCTGGTTCCCTCTGCCTTCTCCTTGTTCCGAGACGAGGGTGGAAGGAGAGGCAGGGTCCCAGCTGGCTTTGGAAAGGGGCATTGCATTCTTCGAGTGGAGCTCCTGCGAGGTCCTGGGCTCACCGGGGCTGAGGCTTGTGTTGGGTGGGGGGGGATGCTGGGTCCCTCCAGGCCCGGTCTGGAGCAGGGAGAGGCCAGTTTGCTCACAGTGCTGCCCTGAACTTTGCTTTGTGGGAAAGGGAACTGCAGATGCCGCTCTGACAGAGCCCGTCTGCGGCGCTGCTGAGCACCGGGACCTGGACGGTTCCTAAAGTTAACGTGCTGCACCCTGCTGGGGGCCCGTTGCTGTGGCCGTCCTGGGGCCTCATGCCAAAGGCTGCCAGAGTCTGGTGGTGGCCTGCACCCCTTGGATGGCCCAGGCGGGCCCTGAGCCCCCTTCAAACCTGGGGGAAGGTGGAGGGGCTCCCTCACAGTCGGGGGGCGAGTAGGAGAGGGTGTTAATGCCAAAGGTATCAAAGGCCGGGAAGACTCTGATGAGCTGGCCCGATTCTGGAGCCCTGAAGTCACCGGAGGAAACGCGCTTGCACTTCCTCCCTCTTGGGTGGTGCTGGAAACGCAAGGTGTGGATCCGTGGTTAGAGCCAGCACCCTCACGTGACAAAGTTCAGGAGAAGACCTTCATCTCTGGCAAACAGCTGCCGCTGAGTCAAGCTTGACTCCTGGAGACACGTCCACATAGCTTCTGGCCAAGAGCGTGGAAGTGATGTGCCGTTGCTGTTTTCTAGGGTGCTGTTTCAGTTGCAGGTTTAGCCCTAAAACTTCTGGTGGTCTCCTGTCCAGCTATTAACAGGATCTGATCTTGCTTAGCTTTTCTGAGATCCCCCAAGGTTAGGTAGATATGTATTAAGCGAGCAAAAGAGAAACCACTTCGGTCTGGCCGTCCTTTCTCTCTTGGCGCGCTCTACCTTGCAGTCACGGAAGGGGATTACTGGTGACTGATGTTCCCTTTCTCAGGCCGCGGGCAATGAGATTATGTTCTCCTGTCCGCTGCAGTTGGGCTTCTGGCCAGTCTTGATGCAGAAACTGCTTTGGCTGCTCTGTGCAAAGGCATCTGGGGGTGCAGATTCTCTGGACCCAATTCATTTGGACCCTGGATAAGGGGCTCCTTTGATCATCTTGGTGGATAACTTGGGCTAGGAAATGGATGGCTCTGGGGGTGTGGGTGTGCCCCTGCCAGCTCTCTCAGAACTCTTGGCGAGGTTTGATGCCACAGAGCGTGTTATCTTTAGGATCTGCCTCACCAACTTTGGCCTTGGGCCCTTCCTTTGGGGCCATCCAGTCTGGCCTCTGTGGTGTCCCAGAAGGTCAGGGCAGAATCTCTTTCAAACTGGTGAGGGAGGTTCCACTGCAGCCAGCGGGTGCCAGAGGTGGGCGAGAGAAGAATTTGAGGTTTGGCTGCCCGCCTTTCTGGTCCTGGTCTGGACCGGGAACTCTTCCTGAGCCAAGTGACTGGAACTGGCTAGCAGGGCTTCTATCTTTAATTTCTTTTACTATTTAATCATTATTTTCAGTGCTTTACACAGTGCTAATGATGACTGTGCCATCAAATTGTTGTTGTCTCTTAGGAACCACACAGATCAACCTTGGCCAGGATGATCTGTCCCCAACCTGGCCATTCAGGTCTCCCCTCACTGCTGCCACCACGTCCGTCCCCCTGGCTGCTGGTCATCCTTGTCCTCTCTTCCACCTTCCCCGGCATCACAGCTTTCTCCAGATTGCTGTTTTTTGATAATTTGAGACTGGTCATTTGTGTCTTGAGTTCGAGAACTCTAGACTGATTTGTTCCCTCATCTATTCGTTTGTTTTCTTGGCTGCCCACGGTCTTCTCAGGAGTCTTCTCCAATGCCAAAGTTCAAAAGTGTCAATACTCTTCCTATCCTGCTTTCCAACTTTCTCTTTCATAAAAGAGAAATGGGGAAGACCATGGCCTGCACGATTCTGAGCTTTGTAGGTGCAGACACATCACCGCATCTGATTATTTTTTCCAGGGCCTTCCTGGCTGCTCTACCAAGTGCTCCTCTGTGGCACATCGCTTGACTGCTGGTTCCTCAACTGTTGATGGTTGGTCCTAAAAGGCGGAAGCTGTCCACCACTTTGATATCTTCACTGTCAGTTCCAAGGCTGGTTCTACCTGTTGTCCTTAGTTTGGTCGTCTTTATATTTAATTTTAGTCCCATTTTATTCTGTGCTCCTTGACTTTTATTACTACAGCTTCCAGATCCTTTGCAAATTCAGCTATCAGGGTAGTGTCATCAGCATAGTGCAGGTTATTCATCATCCTTCCTCCAGTTTTAAAACCATGCTCATCTTCCAATCCAGCTTCCCTTAATATATATTCAGCATATAGATTGAATAAATAAGGGGAGAGTATACAGCTTGTCTCGCTCCTTTGCCGATCTGGAGCCAGTCTGTTTCACCATGTTCTGGGGCTTCCTGACCTGTGTATAGGTTTTACATGAGGACAATGAGATGTTCTGGGATCCCCATTTTCTAAGGCATTCCACAATTTGACACAGTCAACTCAATCAATTTATTTATTGTGGTCATAGACCAGTACAAGCAGAGTGCTTTGTGGATCTCTCTCTCCCTCTCCCATCATCTCTCTCTCTCTCTCTCTCTCTCATCATCTATCTCTCATCTAATCTATATACACAAAATAAAATTTAAAACAAAGTTAAAATACATTTATAAAACAACCTAACTAGCATCTATGAGTGAGGGAGATCCAGGATACAGTCTATAAGTTATAAAATAGACACTAAAATTATATAAGACATAACATCTAAAATTACAAAAAAGTGATCATATCTAAAATTTAAGTGGACTTCAGTTACATAGTTACATAAAGTGTGTCTAACTAGCAGAAAATTGCCCCATCGGGGTCCAGCGGATCTTCTGTGCCGCTGCACGAAACCGAGCCACGTGTGTTGCAAAAAAGGCAGTTCGTGGATGAGCAGCATCTGGGCCTAGGCTGAGTCTGGGTGACCAGGGTATCTACTAACCAGAGGCAGGATGAATCTGGTCCGAATGTCTCCGCAAAAGGAGCAATGAGGAAGAACACGTTCTGTGGTTCCCACCTCTCCGGTATCCCAGGGGCAGAGCCCTTCAGCCAGTGGCACTTTCTCATATTCACCAACCAATGCTGAGAGGGGAGAGCACAACATCGGGCAAGAGAGAAAGCTTTCCGATGCCTGGGCGTTTCTAGCTGTGTGAGGTGGCTGGCAGCAATGACAGCGTATCAGTTGTGTACTGGTGGCAGGAAGGCTTGGGCCTTCCCTAGATCTTGCTGCTCTGTATCCTTCATCCGTTGCTTCAGGGTTTGTTTCGCCTGATCATATTTCATCTTAAGAACCGAGGAGGGACAGTAGCCTAGATTTAAGTTCGGATTCAACCGCCTTGATCCATGTTTTCATCCATGAAAATTGTCCATCAATGCAGACAGTCAACTCAATGGAAGGCTTTTCCATAATCAGTGAAGCACGTGTTGACTTCTGGGGAGGTGTTCTTTGGTTTTCTCAATTACCCAGTGTGCATCAGCATTAATGCCTCTTGTTCTTCAGCCTTTCCTAAAGCCAGCTTGAACATCTGGCATCTCCTTTTCCATGTGGGTCTCTAATCTGTGTTGGATGATCCTCAGCTAGCATGCAAAATTAAGGATATTGTACAATAGTTGGCACACTCTGTCAAGTCCCCTTTCTTTGGTTTTGGAGTGTAGATTGACCTTTTCCAATCAGTTGGCCACTGTGTCATTCTCCACTGTTGCTGGCACTTTTAAATTTATTTTTTATTTAACAAATGCATATAGCAGCCCATCTATCAAGGAGAATTCTGGGGAGTGAATAGAAATAAAAACGTAGCGTTTGGTTAGAACCTTGACTGATTCTTCTTTTGTTGCTTGTCATATTTCTGTGGGTATTCCATCAGTTCCTGTAGCCTCCCAACTTGACAATAATTGGAGTGCAGATCTAGCTTCATCTTCCTGTACAAGAGGTATTTGTAAGCAGGAAATCTCTTCCAAGGTATCTTCAATGTCAACATCCCTGCTTGTGGAAGGAAAAATTTGAAGCTGAGGTTTCTTTCTGTATGGTTGGGTCCCTTGGGACTTCAGTAGAGTAGAGGACCACACCAGTAGCACAGAGAATTTGGTTTTGATGCTGATATTGGGGTGGGTGGGGGTGGAAGTGGCATTGGAGAGCTGAAGGAGAAGCCAGAAGCCAGGAGTTGCATGGAGGAGGCAAAACTGAACCTAAACAGTTTGGTGGAGTGAGCAAGGAGACCCTGAAGTTGCCAAGCTGGAATGAGTGAGAAGAAGCAGAGCTTGTGAGCCTCACAAGCCTTCCAAAGACACAGACCAGCTGCAGACAGCAGCCAGG